TAAAGACAACAAATCCCCTAAACATCATAGACTCTTATACATAAATGATAGCATTATGACTAAGAAGTTTATTCAAAAGCACACTTTTGGACTAACATTTGAAAACTATGAAATTCAATTAGCAAACACATTGGAAACCTCACATGATTGCCTTGATAGATGCAGAAAGTCATTGGATCCTATGTAATACTCTTCAAGGGTGGGGGAAGCAAAATTCCTCAGCAGACTAAGGGTAGAGATGGCTTATTATTCGGTTCAGACCACCTGGCATGTCGGTCTCCTCTGCCCCACACCCCATGGTCATACTCTGAAAGGAAGGGCTGGTGTATTTTCATAGGTGATGCCAGGAGGATGATGAGGCTGGTTTGGGAAGAACCTGGGTCTATGAATAGCCAAGAATAAGGGCTGATATGGTGATTCAAGGGGCTAATCCCCCACCTTCAAGTGCCGGCATCCCATATAGGTTCATGTTTCAGCTGCTCTATTCTGATTCAGCTTCTGGCTTACAACCTGGGAAAGCAATGGAGGATGGCCCAAGTCCTTGGGCCCCTGAACCTGTGTGGGAGACACAGAAGTTCCTGGCTCCCGGCTTCAGATTGGTTCAGCTCCAGCTGTTGAGGTCCTTTGGGGAGTGAGCCAGTGGACGGAAGATCTTTCTCTCTCTCCTCTCTGCAAATATGCCTTTCAAGTAAAAATACATAAATTTTAAAAAGAATAGTAAAGAATAGCAGAGCTGTCACAGTCCCTTGGACCATTTATAGCTGCACAGTTATATTAGAGACTTGGATAGGTTTGTTCTTCTGTGAAATTCAAACTTAGGCATTTTCACTTTATTTGAAAGGAACACAGTCACACAGACAGAGATCTCCCGTCCACTAATTCACTTGCCAAATGCCTACAGCAGTGAGGGCTGAGTGAGACCGAAGCCAGGCTGGAACTCCACCCAGGCCTCCCACATCAGCGGCAGGACCTGCGTGGCTGAAGCATCACCTATTGGCACCCAGTGTGTGCATGAACAGGAAACCGGATCAAAAGAGGAGCTAGAACTTGAGTCAGGTACTCTGACGTGGAACACCAGCACCTCAAGTATGATTTCACCAGGAAGCTGAATGCTTGGTCCCAAACACCTTTGTTCTAAATGTATGTTTTTGTGTTTTAAAGACTTATTAATTTTTATTGGAAAGGCAGATATACAGAGAGGAGAAGAGACAGAGAGGAAGATCTTCTGTCCGATGGTTCACTCCCCAAGTGGCCTCAGGGGCTGGAGCTGAGCCTATCCAAAACCACGAGCTTCTTCTGGGTCTCCCACACGGGTGCAGGGTCCCAGGGGTTTGGGCCATCCTCGACTGCTTTCCCAGGTCACAAGCAGGGAGCTGGATGGGAAGCGGGGCCATGGGGACTAGAAACGTCACACATACGGGATCCCAGCGCATGCAAGGCAAGGACTTTAGCCACTAGGCTATCGCACCAGGCCCTATTTTTGTTAAAAGAGTTTTGCTGTACCTCTCCAGCTGTGGGAATGAGCCTGCTGTGTGAAACAGGTTGCTGTCATTGGGAAGCAAGGGCGTCTGATGACCATACTGACTTCCCCAGCGATGCTGGAGAGCATCTCTCTGTGAGGAGGCTTGAGTTGCCCTGGAGTGATAATGGAGCAAGTTTTCTTCGCAGGGCCAATTCCCACATTTTCTTGAATAAAAATCAGTGCTTCATTTTGGAACATGTCGTGTTCCCTAATTTTAGGGGCCTGAAACAGTCGAAACACTGCTGGTTCACATTTTTGGATAGTCGTCTATGTTTATTTTTCCCCAGCCCTTTCCCTGCCCTCTATTGGATTTTAAAGTCTTGTCCCACACTTCTCATTCCCACTTGTTTGGAAGCCTCTGGGTTGCATTTCTGTCCCTTCAACAGTCACCTTGACATTGTCCTCATACATCCTACATTTCCTGGTAGTCACGTTCCTCGGTATTTCTCATCTACACAGGCTTGCTTTATCTCTATTTGTCTTCTCTGCTTTACGTTGCTATGCCAAAATCTCAGAGGCTGGGCATCTTATTTAAAACAGAGGTTTATTTTGGATCATGGTTTGGGAAGCAGGGACTTGCACCAGTGTGGTGCCGGCATCTCTGTGGTTTCTGGCAAGGGCCTCGTGTTACATCACAGAGCAGCAGAGAAACAGCAAGAGGAAGAAGGTACAGATGGAGGGATCATGTGTTGGGGCCATTTATCCTGGTATAGGAGGCTAAACTTCCGCCTGTGGCGCTGGCATCTTGTATGGATACCATCCAGTTCTGAGTCCCAGTTGCTATACTTCCCATACAAGCTCCCTGCTTATAACCTGGAAAAAGCAGTGGAGGATGGTGGCTCAAGTCCTTTGACCCCTGCACCATGTGGGAGATCTGGAGGAAGCTCCTGGTTCCTGGCTTCAGATCAGCCCAGCTCCAGCTGTTGCAGTTATTTGGACCATAGGAAATGAGAGGCAGCTAGGCAAGCTGAACTTGGTTTCTATCACCCCTCACAGTAACAAATCCAGTTCCCAGAGAAAAACTCTGTTCCCCAAATTCAGGCTTGAAATCACTAACCTCTTTAATGACCTGATTCTCCTCTCAACATCACCACGCTGGCGATCAAACCTCAACCAACCATCTCTAAGCCATGGCACTGTCCAAGCCCCTTTTTACCACCACCCACAAAATCCTCCCAGCCCTGTTTTATGGCTTTGTCTTAGAGTCTAAATCCTACCAGTTATAAAAATATAGAACAGTGCTTCTAATATCAAGTTAATTACCTGCACTTCTTTAAAAAAAAAAAAAAAAACAATTGAAGAAATCCCAGAAAAAAAATTTTTTTTTTCTGAGACTAATTGGGGGCCCAGTGCCTGCGTGGCATACAGTGGGTCCTCAGCAAATGGAGCCCACCATCTCTTCCCATAAACAGTCGCTTGTCTCTTTGAAGCAAAACAGGCGCCCTCAGCAGGCATGGATTCCTCTGCGGCTGGTGCCATTCCAGGCAAGATCGCCCAACATGAACTTTTTTTTTTAATGTTAATTTTCCCGAAAACTGTACTTGACTGTGTGGCAAGCTGAACAGGACTGGATTAAATGTTCTTGTTTTTTTTCTGAGCTGTGAAGTGTGGAGACAGACGCACCTACCGGGAAGCCAAGGCACAGTGTCTCCTGGGAGAGACCCCGCCAGGCTACGTGGCTGCCAGCTGGAATGCAGCTGCTCAGGCAGCTGTTTCACTGTTTGTCCAGCCGGAGGGGACACGGCCAAACAGCAAATATTGTTTCCTAACAACATTTGACTTCTGCTAAGAACAATAACGATGCATTTTTCTCGTGCCCCAGCAGCGTGCCAGACGGGATAGGTTTATGACTCAGCAGGTTCATCCGTCTAGGCCAGACATGGTGGTTCCTTTTCGTGTCCAGTGTTGTTTTTTTTTTTTTTCTAAAAAAGAACACATGGGCTCCCAAAGCAGTTGAACTGTTCAGTGTAACAACAGGAGATTGGAGAAAATGAAATCTCAGGAGCACAGAGAGTGACAGTGTAGGAAGGTCAAGGGGAATGAAGTGGTTCAGTTTGCATCTGGCTGATGTGACCTAGGAGTGACTCCTCTCCCGCTGGTCCAAGACCAGGGCAGGCAGCAGCAGGACCAGGAGGACCAGCATCTGCTGACCCCCCTGCTGTGCTGTGGCGCAGGCCTGCCCCAGGTCAGAACAGAAGAACTCACCCTGGGAATGAAATACACTTGTTATCTCTCCCACTTGTTTGTAACTGCCGGGACTTGTGCTCATCAGCCCGGAGCTGTGGTGTTAGTCAATGCCAAAATGGCTACAGCCTGGAATGTGGTGTGGAAGGAATGTTAGGTGTATTCAAGGAAAACCAGTTAAACCTTATCGCTACCTATGAACGCATGCGCAGTTTTTCTATCAGTGTCTGTGGCCAGCAGGTAGTATTAAGACAGCCAATCAAAAATGTGTGTATGCGCATGTCTCCCTCCCTCCTCTTTCGAGAAGCACCCCACCTCCCGGCTTTCTCTCCGGGATGCTTCCCCTTCCCTCTCCCTTCCCTGTCCACCTGGTCCTTTCGCAAATAAATTTTTCTGTCTGCAACAACAACAAAATGTGTGTAACCACTTATGGAAGACAAAGAAACTATGAAGATATGTAAGAAATGGCCATTGTGCTTATCATTATCATCATGACCACTTCCTGCCAACGACTTAGTGCCTCGCCTTGCAGCACACACATCCAATCAACATTAGGTCACATGGTTAATCTACGCTGTAAGTTAGACTCTTGCTGCCTACCACTTAGCAAATCATTCTATTGAATTTGACAAGCTATGAACCAGGGTGGGTGGGGTGAGAGATCATCAACTACTTTTGTTCAGTGGTAAAATCAAGCATGCCAGCTGTAGGCAGTCAAGATTGAGAACACACTCAGATGCATAAATGAACTTTCTGCCAGAATGGGTCATTCTTGAGCTTGGTAGTTCTCTGTCCTCAGTTCCTTCTCCCTTGCCAGGAGAGCTTACACCTTCAGAAAGACCCCTGGAGATACTCTTGGTGCTTGTTCCCCTTGGGGTGACATTGGAGGTCGGCCGTACCTGCCATTCACAGCATTGAGGGAGTAATTCAGCCCGGCTCCACCCTGTCCAAGAGCTTTTGTGAAAACTGTAGACATAGGGGTGGGTGAAGAGGGGAAGAAACCTCTTTGCTAAACCTGTATAGTTAAGGCATTTTTCAAGATGAACTTGGCTGCATGGTCGGCCATTGAAGATTCTGGCTTTCCTTCCACTGTTTACTGAAATGGCAATGGAATCATAAGCAACAGCAGTCTAATTTGGCTGTGGCTTGAAGTTGCAAACACACATGGCTCCTCTGAAGTTGTAACTTTTTGGCCAAAACGTCCCACCCGCCTGGTAGTTAGCACCTAGGAAATCAATCACAAGCGTCACACTCTTGTTTTCCGAGGCTGCAGAAAAATAACAGATTGCCAGGCATGGATGAAGCATACAAGCTCACTTCTCCAGAAAGGATCCAGCTGTTGGAGAAAGAACTGATGGCACGACTAGCCCAACTAAAGTTGGAGCTAGAAGCACAAGCGCCTCTCCAGGGAACAGCTAACAGAGCATACAGGTAGGCAGTGGGTTGGGTGGGATGGGCGGGGTGGCTCTGAGGGGCTTCACGCTGTATCTCACCCCACGGCCTCCTTCAGCCTCCATCTGAAAATATGGGCAATTGGCATCATCCCAGGCTCACATAGGCAGCATCTGACACCAGTTTCAGATACTCCTTTCCAAACTGCTGTACCTGAGACTTCCTTATGTTCTAGAAATGTCAGGGTGAATTGAATCAATGTTGTATTACAGAGAATGAGAAAGAGCTCTATGGGATCCCAAGAGCTTCCATCTTCACGTTCCAGAAGGTGACTATGAACGCTACCCAAAGGAAAGCAATCTCACTAATGTTATCCAATAACATTAAGAGCCTGACTTTGATTTGGATGAGAAATCTAAAAGTTGACATTAATCTAGAACTTTGGTCATGAGTTTTCTTAGGAGCTAGTCTAGAGGTCAATGTTGCCAATGACAACAATGAAATTTTTTGACAAACACAGGACAGACAGAGATCACCTGGGCCCAGGACCGTCAGTATCCCTAGGTTCCTGGTACAGCCACAGTGGATCAAAACACTTACTAATGTGAGAGAGACAATATGCACAGGGAGGGGTGTGGAGTGGCCAGGAGGAGAAGCCAATGAGCAGGTGTTGCAGTCCTTTATCCCAAGCATGGTTCTGAAGAATGAACATTCAGTCTGTATTTGCCATGGCTATTTAAAACCATTGCTCATCCAAAACAGATCATGATATGGTGAGATGGAAAGATTCCTTGAACCAGAATTTTGCAAGATTATTTTCTTTGGGGAAAAAAAATGTGATTTGCAACTTGTAGTTTGCCCACTTCAAAGGTTACAATGATGAAACAACACAATGCATGCTAAAGCCTTTCCAGGGCCAGAAGACACCAGCCAAAACTCCAGTGTTGATATTGTAAACATTTAAATGTCAGAGTCAGGCAAGGGACTCCCCCTGTGTCCCAGAGGCCCTGGTAAATCACAGCGGTGGGGAATCCCAGACGCTACTCCTCGGAACCACCCAACGCTGCACCCACCTGGGGCAACTGAACCGTGAGCGCCCTAAACACATATGGAGCACCTTCGGGTTGCTTCTGGAGTCCAAGACAAATGGAGACATCCGCTCCTGATTGTCACTTCACATACACTCACGTTCCCCACACAACGTGCTTTAGTCATCTCTCCTTTTGCTTCTTTCCCTCCTTCATTTTATCCAGCAAGCAATGTTTTAGAAATGCTTGCTGAATGAATGAGTGGTTGAAGAGTCTATTGAATGAACGTTTGATGAATGAATGAGCAAATCTGTTTTGAGAGGCTGATGTACGCATCTCTTGCATCCTTCCACCTCTTTAGGTTTATTCACAGGTAAAACCTGATTTGAGTTGGGATGGGGGATGCAGGGATTGGGCTCTGAAGCCTGTGGTCCTGCCCAGTCTCCCAGCATGCCCAATCCCTGCATCCCCCATCCCAACTCAAATCAGGGCGCTATAGGCATTCTCTTCCACTGCACAGGCAGGATCAGACACATGCATTCTCAGAGTTGCTGGGCCAGAATGGCTGGTGGTTCTCTGTCTGTCTCCACACAAGACTCTGGCTCCTTTGGGGAAGCAATGGCAAGTGAGCAAGCCAGCAGTGTTATGCTTAAGATGTAGCTGTGGGGCCTGTGTACAGTGTGAACCCAAAGGTTACAACCTACAGTTCTTCAAGCTCTCTGGGTACTCCCGGCCATGTGTCTCAGAACCGCCTGCTGAGGTGCCAGTGCCCCTATGAGCAAAATCCTGTCTTGACAAAATAATGTCTGCACCAGGGGTTGCTGTCCTGCTGTGTTCCCGGCACTGCCAAGCCTTGGGGGAGTGAGCTGGGCTCCTCCTGGGGCCCACAGCCCATGCCTCCTGCACATAGGAGGCCATGAGGCATTTTTGTTAGGCAAGTTCTCCCAGGAACAGTCGACTTTTCTGGAGCAGAAAGTTTACTCAGAAGCATTTCTGGAAGATTCTTTGTTAGATGTTTAAGGGTCATTTTTATCCCTAAGCAATTCAGCAAGAATACCAAAATAAAAAACAATGGGTTTCAATGACAAGGTACGGGTGTCATGTGTCAACTGTTCAGAATGCCCTCTGAGAAAGCCAGTCCTTGTCAGAAATAAGGTTGAATGGAAAGTACAGACTTCTCACCATGCGGAGGTAGGCCCAGGGTGTTAGGAAAGACCCCAGGCCTGTAGGGAAAAGAGAGCTCTTGGCCCAGGAGTTTTAGCAAACATGAGGTGTGCACAAGAGACTGTGGCCAATATAGGAGAGTATAGCCTTCCTGTGCCTCCATAACCCACTGTGATATGATGTAAACGGACTTCCAACCCTGCATTGGAAAATGGAATTAAACAATAGTTTTGTTTTGTTACAAAAATTTTTTGAAGCACGCAGTGTTTTCACTCTGCATCTTTATTTTTTAAAGATTTATTTATTTTTATTGGAAAGTTAGATATACAGAGAGGAGGGGAGACAGAGAGGAAGATCTTCCATCCACTGATTCACTCCCCAAATGGCCACAACAGCTGGAACTGAGGTGATCCAAAGCCAGGAGCCAGGAGCCTCTTCCAGGTCTCTCATACACTGGTGCAGGGTCCCAGGGGTTTGGGCTGTCCTCGATTGCTTTCCCAGGCCACAAGCAGAGAGCTGGATGGGAAGTGGAGCCACCAGGATTAGAACCGGTGCCCGTAAGGGATCCTGGCACATTCAAGGCAAGGACCTTAACCACTATGCTATTGTGCCGCGCCCTATTTTTTTTTTTTTTTTAGGATATATTCAGGGCCTGAGTGTTGATTCCACTGCCTAATCCTCCACCTCCAAGTACAGACATCCCATATGGGTGCCAGCTTCTGTCCTGGCTGCTCCTCTTCCCATCAAGCTCCTTGTTTGTAGCCTGGAAAAGCAGTAGAGGATGACCCAAGCCTTGGGACCCTGCACCTGTGTGGGAGACCCCAAGGAAGCTCCTAGCTCCTGGCTTCGAATCAGCCAGGCTTGGGTTATTGCTACCTCTTGGGGAGTGAGCCAGTGGACAGATCTTTTTCTCTGTCTCTCCTCTATGTAAATCTGCCTTTCCAATGAAAACAAATAAATCTTTTTAAAAAAAAAGATGTATTCATTTATTTGAAAGATAGAGAATTAGAGAGGGAGGGACAGGAGCTCTTGCATCCCCTGGTTCACTCTCCAAATGGTTGCCAATAGGTGGCTGAAGGCAGGAGCCAGGAACTTCATCCGGGTTTCCCACGTGGATGGCAAGGCTTGCCAACACTTGAGCTGGATTCCACTATTTTCCCAGGAGCATTAGCAGGGAGCCGGATTGAAAGTGGAGCAGCTGGTACTCCAACTGGTGCTCATGTGGGATGCCAGTATTGCAGTCGCTGTCTTAATCTGCCTCACCACAATGCCAGCCCCCATTATAGTCATTTTCAATGAGCATTTAAGTGACTTTATACCCCTACTTATAAACAGGCAGGTGCGATGTCATACACTAGCCAGGGCCCACTCATCCCCTGCCCTGGTTCAGTTTCCCTAATTGCAGCTTCCACTCTGATTATCATTCTGCAGCTCTATTCAAATACCAAAGGACATGTCTTACTTTAGAAGAGAACGGGAACTAACACTGAGAAACACCCTACAGGTGAGTAGGAGAGTGGGCTATTCCATGCAAGAATGAACTGTATTTTGTTAACATGTTGGGAACTTTCATCAGGAAAATTCTGTTTTTGCCAACAAACTGCTGATGTTCTTGACAGTGAGTACTAGAAAAAGAAGCCCAGTATGCAGCTCCTTGTTGTATCATGTCAGTCAGTCATGCTCTTGGAGATGTCCACTTTTGAGATGTTTCACGATTTAATACAGTTCCTTGATGTGAAATATTAAAATTCAGGTAATTTCGGTTTAGGTGGCCACGGCCAAGCCTCTTGTTATTCAGGCAGATGACCTGCAGAGGGAGCTAGAGAGCTGCCTAAGAAGAGAGTACACGCCAGAAAACTTACCTCTGCTTCTGTTGCAGGTAAGGGTCATTTTTTTTTTTTTTTTTTTTTTTGCGATTTGAGAAACACATCTGAAATTTAGCAGAAAGGTTTGAACAAGGCTGGCTTCCTGGTGTATCACCTGGCGAGGGCAGGATTTTCTATAATGTGTTTATTAGAGAACTATAGTGTGGGCAAGTTCACTTTAGACACTGGTTGACTGAATCTTCACTAGCTGCTCCCTGTCCTAGAATTTCAGGGTGATAGAGCATGGACTAGGATAGTGTCAGCTCTCAGAAAGCTTTTGGCTGGGGCTGGGCTTAGTAGGCTAAGTTCCCACCTATAGCACTAGCGTCCCATATGGACACTGGCTCGAGTCCCAACAGCTCCACTTTCCATTCATCCTTCTAATTATGGCCTGGGAAAGCAGTGGGGGTTGTTTTAAGTCTTTGAGCCTCTGCACTCACTTGGGAGACCTGGAAGAAGTTCCTTGCTTCAGATCGGCTCAATTCCAGCCTTCCCAGCCATTTTGGAAGTGAACCAGTGAATGGAAGATCTGTCTCCATGTACAACCTGTTGCTTCTAAAGCAGCTTAGCAGGAAGTCTGATGGGGAATTGGGGAGGTGGAATTCAGACAGGCACTCTGATATGGAATACAGCGTCGGAGGTAGCAACTTGAGCTCATTTTTACCACAAAACTTGAAGCTCAGCCTCAGATACCGTGCCAGACTTTTATGCTAGTATTAAAATTGTTGACTGATAGATGAGTTTACCATCTATAGGCTCAGCAGCAGATCATAAAGGTTAGGAAATGTCTGAATCATGTCTTGAACTGGGCTTCTCCATTTTATGGTCTACCTGTAGAAAAAATACATTTGTCCGAAGCAATCGGACTGATTCACTTAGCATTCATATTCTTCAGACTCCATGTTCTTCCTGCTGTATCTGAGTTGAGCTAAGTGCTTGTTTTTGCTGTTGCGAAAGCATTACCCAGAGAAGACCGCCCAGCTGGCTCAGAGCGCACACTTACACATGCTGAGGTGGCAGAAGTTTTGCCGGCACAGTCAGATCACGGAGCAGCTTTATCCTCTCTATAAGGTAGGATACCCTCACAGTGAGCCTGAATAGCCCATGAGCCTGCCAGTTGCTTAAAATCACAGCCTGTATGGGAAAGGAAGTGATGTGGGTATCTTCTGGCTTATCACCAGTGGCAGATGATAAGGCTTCCTGGTTTTAAGAAAAAAATTGCAAGATGTTTTGTGCAACAGGAAATGCATATCTCTTCATAGTTAAAACAGCCCAGAAGCCAAGTTCAGTTCTTAAATATCCATAGGCACATCCTGCTTCCCTCGTCAAGTTCGGAATACCAGAGGAACTCTGGCATGCAAGGAGCAACTTCTGCAGCCCCTCCTTAAACAGCATCCTGCTATGCTTGGAAGCAACAGGTACGGAGAATAAGAAAGATGTGCTAACACACAGCCCTGTCCTTGTTACCCCCTTCACAGAAGCAAGTGGGCTACATTACACAGGAGTACCATGACGCCGTTCAGAGAGCTGAGAGATTGTCTGTGGCCTGAGAAAACTTCCTCGTGGGCAGACCCAACCCTCCTCTGTTAGTAACGCAGGAAGACTTAACCATCTACATGCGGTGGCTCGTGTGCCACTTGCACTCTCTGCGGACAGTCCACCACCACCTGCAGGTCTGTGGAAGCCAAGTGCCCACCCTGGGAAGGGATCAGCACATGTTTTTCTCACACTTGTCTCCTGGTTTGAGATAGACAGTTCTGTACTCCTCTACATGCCCTACAAAACAGCAAAGTAGCAGTCACTGGCCCTTTGCTGGGAAACCTTTTCCCCTGGGAAGCTTACTTGCTTTTTTATTTTAAGATTAACTTATATTTATTGGAAAGGCAGGTTGACAGAGAGAAATATCTTCAATCCTCTGATTCACTGGCCATAATGTCCTGAGCTGAGCGGATCCAGATCCAGGAACCAGGAGCTTCTTCCAGGTCTCCACATGGGTACGGAATCCCAAGCCTTTGCGCCATCCTCAACTGCTTTCCCAGGCCAAAAGCAGGGAGCTGGATGGAAGTGGAGCAGCCGGGGCATGAACTGGCGCCCATATGGGATCCCAGTGTGTGCAAGGCAAGGATTGGCCACTAAGCCATCACATCTGGCCCATGCCCCACATTCAGTACACCTCTCCATGTCACCCAGTGCTGTGAACACCTGCTTACATGCACACTATGGACTCCTTAGGGTTGACCCTGGCCTCTGTGTCACCCTGGCCTCTCACACAGGGCCTTGTCTGCTCTGGTTGCTTGATCACTTCAGACAGGGATAGAGGCCAAGGTCTGCAGGGGGCGGTGACAGCTCATGTGACCCAGCTCTAGCTGAGGGCACTCCTGAATCTACAGCTAGAAGCTTCTGTGTCCATCACTTTGACTGTGGCATCCCAGTTGTGCCCTTTCTCTAGGTCCTCCAATATCTGCCCATCTCCAAAGTGCTGAGTGAAGCTGAAAGCCATATACCTGAGGTTGGTTGTGAAAGTGAGAAGGTCAGCGCCAATGACATCAACCCTGACAGCCAGGGTTCTGTAGCCCCTGGCTCCACGGACACCACCAGTTCAGGTCAGAAACGGTCAGCATTTCCTCCAGGACAATGTAGATAAGAGAAGGAAATTGTGCCTTTGTACATGCGGTGTTTTATATACCAAAGTTATACCTTTGAAATAAACAAGTGTTTATATTTGCTAAAGGGAAAAAAACAACTGCTTCTCTTAGATATTTTTGTCTTCAACTAAAACAAAAACAACAACAACAACAAAAAACCACACACTTGAAAGGAAGAATGAGAGAAACAGAGAGAATGGAGAGAGAGAAAGAGAGAGAATCTTCCATCTGCTGGTTCACAAGATCCAGGTCTGAACCCAGGAGCCAGGAACTACATCTGAGTCTCCTACACAGGCAGCGGGAGCCCAAGGCCTTCCCAGTGCACATTGGCTGCAGGCTGGATGAGAAGCAGAGCAGCTGGGACTCAATCCCGCACTTTCATATGGGATGCTGGTGATGCAAATGATGACTTAACCCACTGCGTCACAACACTGGCCCCTATCTTTATCTTTATAACTAGACAGTCAAGAAAGAAGGGAGGAAATGGGCTTGAAGTCACCTATGCTGGGCTCCAGGCCTCACCATGAACCCGAGTGGAAGCTCCTTGGGCCTCAACCTGATCTTCATAATCAGTGATCCCCAAGGTTCCAGTTCTCAATTAACTTCCTCATCTGAGTCAGTACAATTTGCTGCCCTTACCTGGTGTTTCAGAAACTTGAGCAGGTTTCTCCTCTGGTCTGCATTCTTGCTTGGACAGCATATCTGGTCTCATAAGAGCCTGTGGGAGAGGCAGCCAGCCCTAAGTGTGGGGTCTCCACCAAGGCTTCTCAAACGTCAGGATTCCCACCTGGGTCCAGATGAAGACCCCTTTCTTGTGTGTTGTGAATTTAGATTCTCCATTTACTATGAAGGAAGGAGTCTTACCAGTGCCTTCCCCATGGGATCATTCTATAAATCTGCTGCTATAACCTGGCAAGCACCTGTTAGACTCACCTGGCTGGGTGTGGTGTTGACTGAAAATTATGGCAAGGAAGGCCAGGCAAGGAGCAGGTGGTACTTCTACCAGCAGAGGGCTCGCTGCTTTCAAAGGGCTTCTTGTTCTCTCCTCCTGCCTGTTCATTGGTCTTGATGTGCTTGGTTTTGGATTTTTCTCAGGGCCAGTGAGAATGGAGGTTGCTGGTGCCCTGCCCCAATACACAACAGAAGCATCAGCCCTGAAGCCTCAGCTGAGAAACCTGCTCGCCCATTTCCACATCCCCTATGACGTGGAGGAGCTTGGGGATGCTGCAAAGGAAATGCAACTGTTTTCCTTGATACTCCATCTATAGTTTAAGATTTCTCTGCTTATTTGGAAATCAAATTGATGGAGAGAGAGGGAGAGACCAAGAGAGACTGAGAGATCTTCACCTGCTGATTCACTCCCTGATGCCTGCAATGGCCAAGGCTGAATCAGACAGAAGCCAGGAGCCCCATGACTCATCAGCCCATCTGAGTGATAGAGGCCCAAATACTTGGATGCTCTTTAACTGCCTTTCCTAGGCCATTCACAAGGAGCTGGATCAAAAGTGGAACAACCATGACTCAAATCAATGCCCAGCATGGCAAGCAGTAACTTTACCTACTATACACCACGTCGACCCTGCTATATTTTTCTTAATGCAGATCTAAGTGCTCATGAAAGAAATCAGTGGTATTTAGCAAGCACTGTCTATTTTAACTGCAACTATTGTTTCTAGAGTGAAAAGATGAAATAGTAACAGGTGGAATTTAGACTGGCTCTTAGGGAAGGACTTGGTGAGTCATGGGACCTCCAAAGCAAACCCAGAGGCCTAGTGGACTACAGAAGGTGTAAACGTTGCCAAGGTTTAGCAGGTTCTCATTGTGGAATGAACAGGGATCTACAGCCTTCCTGTTCTCAGAATGTGCTGCAGTGGCTCTCATTGACAAAGTACCTACCTTTCAGAGTTTGCACTGTCCCACTGTGTTCAAAGCCTTGCAGGCTGCTCTGCTGTAACACTGTATTGAGCTTCCTTTAACAACTTGCATGGTCAAAAGCTTTGTTTCAAAGGGAAAAATTGGATTGAGGAAACAGCTCCAGGTTTTTAGTAACAAATTAGTTTTGTAAGCAGCTCGACCACAAAAAAGTATTTTCCTAGCATAAGATGCGAATTATTTGCAAGTATATCCATACATACGTATATCTACATACACAGACACTGAATGAAAATATCAAACTGAACGATCCAGTCAAAAATCAAATCTGGATGTTTGGGATGCCATTCCTTTGTGTAAGAAGTAGCCACTGTCTCTTCAATTACTATCTCTTGACCTTGAGGCTGCACTTGCATTTGTATTTGTTCCAACATTCTGTGGTCAACCTTATTTCTGTCAGTAACGTGGATTCCGTAAGCTGGAACCAATGATAGCATGCCCTGTGGTTTCTCTGAAGCCGACCATGTTTCATCTTTGCCCCACTTTCCATGTTGCAGCAGCACCTTCAGCACAGGGCCTCACTGGGAGTGTCCTCACCTTCATCATCCCCAAGCAGTGTGGGAAGCAGAGCCAAGAAGGGACATAGACACTGTTTGCAAAGAACCCAAATGAAAGGATACACTGGAGCAAAGGAGGCTATGTGTACGATCATTGATAGAAGAGCCTAGATGTGGCAGAGCACCAAAGCAGAGCAACCTGTTCCCAAAGAACATCCTGTGACTCCTCCATGGTCATAGTTTCTATTTCAATAAAAGCAATTCATTTATTTATTGCTTCAGAGGCAGAGAATGAGAGGAAGAGTGAGAAAGAAAAGAACTGGAATCTCCCATCGGCTGGCTCACTCCCCAAATGCTGCAGCAACTGAGGCAGGGCTAGGCAGAAGCTGGGAACCAAAAACTCCAACTGAGTCTCCTGAGTGTGTGGCAAGGGCCCAAACACTTGAGCCGTCTTCTGTTTTCCCAGGTCACCCAACAGTAGGGAGCTGGATGGGAAATGGAGCATCTGGAACATGAACTGGTACCCGTATGGGATGCCAGTATTGCAGAAGACGCAGATTTTAAAACATGAATTTTGTGGAGACACAAATACTCAGACCATATTGATGACCATGTCCATTTGTCTGTGGCTGCTTTCACACTGCAATGGCAGGCTTTAGTTGCAGTTGTGACCCTGAGATCTGGAAAGGCTAAAATGTTTACAAAAAATATTTGCCATCTCAGCTCTAGACTAGCTGTGATAGATAAACTCTGTACCTGACCAACATATTGATTGCTCATTACCCATGGCTACCGGGCATTTGAAGTGTGGCTAGTGCAACTGAAGAATTCAGTCATCAATGCTAGTTCCTCTTAATGGATGTGCTGCAAAGACAGCAGATATCTGAGCTACTCTTCTCTCTTCTTATTCAGGTTTCCCACAAATTTCCAAGCATCTTCATGGAACAACAGAGAATGCAAACGTTTCCTGACTATGAGGCTCAGAGAGTGACTGCCGAGAATTTGGGTCTGGTGGCACCTGCTTTGGCCTTAAAAAAGAAAGCCAACTGGATTCCCTTTGTAAAGGTAAGGGACCTGTGGTGAAAGTCCCCCTGGAAGGAAGGTCAGCTGTGTCACTCTGTCCTCCCACCAGCTCAGGCTCACTGACCCATCTGGCAGCCCCAGGGCTGTCTGTCCCTATTGTGCCCTTGCCTCATCACCCTGGAGGACCAGGTGTAGATTAGCTTCCTGTCCTCAGGGGAGACTGCTCAAGAACTTGGTCTTGTACTGCTGGCCAGATTTACCAGCTCTCTTGACTATGTTGGAGTTAGCTGGGCTGATCTGCCTTCTCTGGGCATGCTCCGACTGCCTCTGAACCACTCAATTCAATCAAAACTTTCTTCTTGATTTGTCAAGAACAAAGAAGCATATCCAAAGGTGTAATTGACTTTTTAGTCAAAATCTACTTCAGGAATGTACACTGTATGTTAAGCACAAACAAAACATAAGTAAGCAGATTAAAGCAGGTAATTTTGAGCAGGCCTATGAATAGCTAGTTCTCACTACTTGAAGTAGTTGTGTTCTAGAAAGCCACCATGAACACTGATCTAACAAATGCTGAATCATTACCCTTAGCGAAAATATTGGTTTCAGATTCTTATGTCTCTAGTCACAACATTTTGCTTATTAAAAATGTTTTATTTATTTAAGAGGTAGAGAGAAAGACAAACAGACATAGAGCTGCTATCTGCTATTTGACTTTCCAGTGTCCCAAAGGCCGGACCTGACTGGGCCAGGCTGAGAGCCGAGAGCTCAACCCATGGCTCTCCTATGGGTGGCAGGATCACAAGTCTTGAGTATTACCACTGGCTCCCTTGGTGCATTAGCAGGAAGCTGGTACCTGGAGGTGGACCCAGGTATTGGCCTCAGGTTCTCTGATAAGGACGTAGGACATAGCTGTCTTCACCACTAGACTCGATGTCTATCCCTGGTCACAATATTTCAATTAGCTGATCAATTTATAACCTTGCTTTATGTATGTTTCTGTTTAAAATGATATTATTTAATATGCACAGATGGCTCATTAATATCAAACTCATGGGAGACAGCTCTATAACTGCAAGCCTGAAGGAGGCTTACCTAAAACACTCATTTTCTCTCTAGGCACATTGTAGCCTCCTTGGGTTAGGAACACTACACTGCACAAAGTAGGGGAACCATTTACAATGGTGAAATAGTCTACAAAAAGCGCAAAGCTGTGAAACTTGTAGCACTAAGTCACAAGGCAGTCGCTTCATCCACAGGAGGAGAGCAGAAACCAGGCAGGCAGAAGGCCGCCCCATGCAGCCTTAGCTGGAAGCATGCCCAGTGTGTGGGTCTGATATTCCAAAATCTGCATGTATCTATTAATGACCATGATAATGCTGTCACGTTGATTTTGCCAGCACAGAATCCTCCTAGGGTGAGGTTTGATCATGTTGTGAAGGGGAGAAAAGTCTTATGATTGCCTTAGTCCCTTCAGTTTGGCAGCTGACATGTTCAAGTTCAGGTTGCTAGCATGGTTGGGTTTGGGCAGAGGCTGTCCTGTGAACTATAACCTGTGAATGTCTCGCTGTGTCCTGGGGTGGTGGAGGAAACAAACAAGTTCTCTCAGGCCTCTTTCCTGGGGACACAAACCCTGTTCATGAGGGCTCCTCCCAGCCTTAGAATTCATCCATTTTCCAAAAGCCCCTCTCCTTTAATACCATCACCTTGTGGGGAGAGGGGCTAGTTGTCAACATAGGAGCTTTGGAGGAACAAAGTCCAACAGACACAAAACGAAACTAATGGAAAAGAAAAAAGCCAAAGATGTCTGCAAGGACCGGGGCTGGGGCAATGGAGCACTTTCCCACTTTAGACTGTTAGACTTGGCATCCAACTGTAGATGTCAAGGAAGTGTTTGGCTGAAGCCTAAAGCTAAAATATGCATTGAAAAATTCTCGCAGGTTAATGGCACTTACCACCCAAGAACTAATTTTTGAAGTATAACTGAGTTAATAAGAAAGATGTTTTTAAATGGAGCAATCACAAGGAGTCTGTGAATGACTTCTTTTGACTGCAAAGCATGGGCAAGGTGCAACATGGATGGGTTGAGGGGGCCCTTCCTTCTCCTGGCTCTGCAGTGTAGCTCCAGGACAAACCCCTACATCGTAGAATCAGATACTAACAGGAAATGACTGCTGCAGTCCTGGAGGTGTGATAGCCCACAGAACCTTTGCCCAAACCCTGCCAGCAAACCCTCAGCACCAAGGACAGAGTCCACTGCAGAGGGTCCGCAAACTTGTGTTCTGTGGTAACTGTACATGGACCTTTGCTCCTAGATCAAGCCGAAACATGATCCTTGGCAAAAGAAACTTCTGACGCAACTAAGAGAGCGGAGAAAAACGGATGTATTAATGCAGTTGCAAGCCAAGTTTCTAAAGGTATGAAAAGGGTGTTCCTTGATAGCTAAGATTCTTGTTAAAATCATCCTATACAAAATGGATGTTTCTTTCAACTTGAAGAAACAATGTTGGCTTGGATTCACTATGAAGCCTTCACTTGGAACGTTTCAATGTAATTGCTAGGCTTTAAGCATCCTGTTAGTTTTCGAGGCAAGAAGAAAATGTCAAAAGAGTTGGATTTTACTGTAGTTTCAATACCACACTTTGTGTGAGGTTGATCTGATCATGGAAGCTTTTTGAACTTACCTCATCTGTGAAACAAACATATTGCATGAGATGATCCTGTTTCTACTGCAGTGAAAACTGCAAGACATGAATTTCCCAGGGGAAGCATTGTTCTGTGTCATTGAGTATGTTCATGTCACATAGTGCATCTCTAGAGCCTTTTTACCTTATAAACCAGAGTCTCAGGGTCACTGAGCCCTCCAGCCGCTGCCAGCCTCCATTCTGCTCTCTGTGTCTATGAAGCGGACTACTTTGAACACCTGATATTACAGAAATCATTCAGTGTGTGTCTCCTGGTGACTATTTTGCTTTACTTAATATAGCATTCTAAATAGGTCAGAATCTCCTTCTTAGTAAAGGTTTCCATGTTCCCTTGTACATACACACCGCATTTTGTTGATCCTTTTTTAATCTCCTGATAGATATTTGTGTCTCCGCTTCATGGCTGTTGTGAATGAGGTTGCCATGAACATGGGTGTGCAAATATCTCCTCAAGATCCTGCTGTGGAGTGTACACCCAGAAGTGGAATTGTTGCATCATGTTGTGATTCTATTTTTAATATGTGATGGAAACTGCACTTTCTCCACAGTACTTGGCACCATTTAAGATCCCACGTAGAGTGCTGATTTGGCCAATTCTCAGCAACAATTATTTTCTTTCTTCTTTTTTCTATTATACATTTATTTACTTATTTAATAGTTTAGAGGTAAGGAAGGAAGAAGAAAAGTAAAGAAAGCTCCAGGTGAGCCAGCTGAAACTGGGCGCCTGGAACTCAGTCTGGGTCTCCTTTATGGATGGCAGGTATCCAGTTATCAGACTTGCCCCTGTGGCCTCCCAAGATGCACATTAGCAGGAAGCTGGACCAGAAGCAGAGCAACTGGGGCTTGAGCCCAGGCACTCTGATGTGGGATGCAGGCATCTCAGCTACCATGCCCAACCACATCCCTCCCTTTGTTGTGCAATAGTAGACAGCTTGTTTTAAATTAATTTATTTTTATTGGAAAGGCAGATTTACAGTGAGGAGAGACACACAGAAAGATCTTCCATCCTGTGGTTTACTCCACAAATGGGTGCATTAAACCAAGCTAAGCTGATCTGAAGCCAGGAGCTTCTTTTAGGGTCTCAAGGCCATCCTCCACTGCTTTCTTGGGCCACCAGCAAGGAGCTGGATTAAAAGTGGAGCAGCGGGACATGAGCCAGCACCCATATGGGATGCTAGTGATTGGAGGTGGAAGATTAGCCAACTGACACATCACACCACCCCAAACAATACACATCTTAGTGGCTGTGAGATCATACTCTCACTGGGGTACTGATTTACATTTGCATATAAGAGAATGTGCATAGTTTCACATTTTTGTTTTATATATTTTTACTGGTTTACCATTTTATATCATCTTTGATGAAATGTCTTTTTAAGTCCTTTGTCCATTTTTTCCAAGTTTAAAAAAATTAATTAATTAATTAATTAATTTTGATAATTGTACTTAGTTGATTAGGGTACAAAGAGTCAAGGGCTACAGGAAAGTGGATAATACCATTGTTTCCACACTAATATCATTTTTTCCCCCTGTATCTGGGGTCAGGGGAGAAACAAAGGGAAAAGCCCCACCCAGCTTCCCACCCATCCCAGATCCGCGATATGAGGCACGCTCCAAGGGGCCTGCCTAAGCAGTTTTGATAGTTCAACAGTTCTGAATTGCTGCCAATCTTGCCATTCTAATCATGATGAAACCCATTCAGAATCCACTGGCTGACATAGTCTCTTCATGGTTGGGGTTCTGAGATCAGCAGTTCAGTTGGAGGGATCTCCAAAGAAACTTCATCTGAGATGATCCCAAACCTGATTTTTGTGTGTGCTTGCCAATATAGGGTCTGGCACAGTCTGTCGCCCCAATCAGTTTATGCACTTGCTGGTCGTTGCACTTGCTGGGTCCATTCTGTTTCCAGCCCTGTCATCCACTTGGACCAATGGGTGTTGTAGTCCAGCTTGATCCTACCCACTTCATACTCGGTCCTCATGCAAACCAATGGGAGCTGCAGCCTAGTTGGGTGACTCCCCATAATCCCCACCAGGCCTGCTCCCTACTCTGGCTTTCATGCATGCCACTATGTACTGCAGACTTGTTCAGTCTGTCCCACATCCCATTTAGCCCTGGTATTTGTCAATGGGCATTGAAGCCTAGTTCAACCCAACCAACATACTATCCAGCCCACACACATACTGGCAGGTGCCTTTCTGTCCTGCCACCTCTGCCCCTGTTCTGGTTTTCATGTTCTCCAGTGGGAGCAGTTACCCACGAGGGAGGTGCCCACTATCTCCTTATTAGGCCACTCCAATTTCTGGATTGTGCGCACTCCAGGTGGTTATGGCATTTAACTTAACAGAATTGGTCCCCAGTGCCAGCCTCTGCCATCTGATGATGTGGCAAAGCCCAACCAACCCTCACCCACTCTAATTTGCTTGCACCAGTTGGAACAGTCAGCCCAATCTGGTCCTTCCCTAATCTAGCTCACATGAGGCCCATGGGTGTTGCAGCCCTGCCTGGTCTGGTCTGCCCCCATCCCAACTCATGCTCTCCAATGGGAGTGGTTGTCCCACAGGGGAGCCCACATTCTCCCTGCCAGCTTCACCTCCTCCCTACCCAGTTCTCACATATGCTGTTTAGGTGCTGCAACCACATCTGGTATGGCTCACCTCACCTTGGCATTCTATAATGTGCACTAGTTTGTGTTGCGACCCAACCTGGCTTAACCCACACTCTATTCTGGTTCTCGGATTCGCCCACAGGTGATCTGGTTCAGCCTGGTCTGACCCCTACCTATGCCATATGTATGATGGTGGGTATCTTCCTCTGGCCTGGTATGGGTTGCTCCATATTGTGGTTCTTGCACTCACCTGTAGGGCCTGTGTCCCAACAGAGGAGTTTCCCAAGTTCCTCCTTCAGAACCTCTTCCTATGCCAGGTCTTGCGCATACTGGTGGTTCCATGGGCCAGCAATCATTGCTGGCCTTCCCTCCATTCCAGTTCTTGGTGTTGGCTGTTTCAGCCCAGCCAAGGCTTGTCCATACCAAGATACTGCTCACACATGGCTCAGTAGGGGCAGAGACTCAGCCTAGTCTGTCCTACATCTTCCCAAGTTCTCCACAGCGCCAGATGGTGAAGGCGTCTAGCCCAGCTTGGTATGACCAGCCCCAGTCCACATTTGTGCCTAGGGAGACTGCAGCCATATCTAGACCAGAATGCAGCCTCCACTCCAGCCCCCTCACCCTCCCATGGGAATCCCAGCCCAGCAAGTGTGTACTCTCAAAGCTCTCCAACCAAGTCTATTCCCAGCCCTAGATTGCGCGGGTGTCAGTGAGTGCTCTGACCCAGTTGGCTTAGTCCCTCACCTTTCTCAGCCTTTGCCTTCAATGCTATGGCATAGTATCCCTGCCTAGTTCTTTGTCCATTTTAAAAAATGTATTTTTTAATTTAAAGAGTTATAGAGAAAAAGGGAGAAATTAATCTTCTATCTGTTCATTCAAACCTTAAATGGCCACAACAGCCAAGAATGAACCAGGCTGAAGCCAAGAGTGTATACAGGTCTCCTCATAGATGGAGGGACCCAAACACTTGGACTGTCTTCTGCTGCTTTTACAGGCCATTAGCACGGATGAGTCAGGCCTTGAACTGGCACCCATAAGGGATGCTGGCATCACTGGAGGCTGCTGAATGTGCTACACCACAGCACTAGCCTCTTTGACCATTTTTTAAAAATTGGATTATTTTTTAGTTAATTTGCTGTTAGATTATAGGAATTCTTTATGTGTTTTGACTATTAAGCTCTTACCACATGTATAACTGGCCAAGATTTTCCCTCATGCTATTGGTTACCTTCTCAAAATATTGATTATTTGATAAACAAAGTTTCACAGTTTGATGTAGTCTAATTTGTTCCTTTTTGCTTTTGTTGCCTGGGTGTTTGCTAGCATATCCAGGAAATCACTGCCAAGTCCAACATCATGAAATTTTCCCTCTATTTTTTTTCAAATACACTTAGAGTTGTAGATTTTACATCTGACTTTACTCTTTTCTGGTTGAATTTTTAAGCAGTGTAAGATAAAGGCAAGACTTGAGGGTTTTGTGTATTCATGTCACATTTTCTTGATGTCACGTGATGAAGATACTGGGTTTTTTGGTTGAATGGGCTTGGCATGCTTACCACACACAAAGACTGATTTCTGAGCTTGCTTCCTATTTCATTGGTTAATGTTGTCTGCTAGTCTTCATGCCACCACTGCTTTTTAAAATTACTCTAACTCTGTAATATTTTTTGAAATTAGGAGTTGTGAATTCTAAAACTTTGTTCTTTTTCCAAGTTGTTTCAGCTCTTTGGGATCCCTTGATATTTCGTGTTAATTTTTATAGTATTGGTATATTTTAAAAGATATATTCACTTGTATTTTAAAGGTAAATTTTAAAGAAAGAAGGAGAGACAGAGATAAAGGTCTTCCATAGACTGGTTCACTTCTCACATGGCCACAATGCCAAAGCTGAGCTGATTTATTTATTTTTATTGGAAAGTCAGATTTACAGAGAGGAGAGACAGAGAGCAAGATCTTCCATCTATTAGTTCACTCTCCATATGGCCACAAGGGCTGGAGGTGAGCCAATTAGGAGCCAGGAGCATCTTCTGGGTCTCCCACATGGTTACAGGGTGTACTGATTTCCCAGGCCATAAGTAGAGTGCTGGATGTAAAATGGAGCAGCTGAGACTCGAATTGATGACCATATGGAATCCCAGTGCCACAGGGAAGCAGATTGGCCAGCTGTGCCACTGCACTGTCCCCATTTTGTGTTAATTTTAGGATACATGTTTCTGCTTCTACCCAAAATGCTGCTGGGTTGTTGACAGGGATTGAAATAAATCATCTTTGAGATTCTTTGTGATATTGAAATGACTTAATGATATGGGTATCGCTGGAGTAGACATTCAAATTTGGGGTCATCAACTCTTAACCTCAAAAAAAAAAAGAGAGAGAGAGAACATTTTTAAAACAAGATTTTAAAAAATTATTTATTTGAAAGGCAGCGTTACAGAGAGAAGAGGGGAAACAGGGAATCTTTCACCTGCTGGTTTCCTCTCTAAATGGCCACAACCACTGGGGCTGGGCCAGTGCTGTTGAGTGTTTCTTTCTTTACTGATGCTGCAACAGTTTGAGGGCAAGCACCTACTGTTGCCTGCAGGACAGGGAGTATCGTGAAGTTTTAAATGAGTTGCTGTGTACAGTTGAAATATCTATAGCACTACATAAAGGGATGTATCTGGGAATCAGGGTGGTCGAGTTTAATTTTGCAACTGAATAAGCCCTGCTAGGGCATTATCCATATGTACATGTGACTAGAGAAGAAGGAATGATGCTTTCTTTCTCCTCTCTGTTCTGCCTAAGATTTCTGACCCTGAGCAAGTAATGCGGGTGCTCCACAATCATGCTGCAAAGACCATCATGCTGATTCCACATCACCCAACTTCCGTGACTTCCCAGGGTTTGCCTCAGTGCAGCTATGATCAAATCTGGGAGAATATTTACAGCAACATCAGCCTCTACCAGGTATGCCAGGAGGGAGCAACCAGCATGTCCTTTTGTTTTTTAAAGATTTATATATTTTATTGGAAAGGCAGATTTACAGAGAGAAGGAGAGACAGAGAGAAAGATCTTCCATCTGCTGGTTCATTCCTCAAATGGCCACAATGGCTGGAGCTGAGGTGATCCAAAGTCAGAAGCCAGGATCCATGAGCTTCTGGATCTCCCACGTGGGTTCAGGGTCCCAAGGCTTTGGGCCATCCTCTACTGCTTTCCTAAGCCACAAGCAGGGAGCTGGATGGGAAGTAGAACAGCTGGGACTGGAACTAGTGCCCCTATGAGATGCTGCCATAAGCTTTACCAACTATGCCACAACGCCAACCCCTGACTAATGCACTTTTCAGGCACACAGGCTAAGCAAGCTTTTCAGTGCTCAAGTTTGCCAAGTCTTAATGGGCATGTGCAAGTGTGGATGTTGTTGGAAGCTGAGGGCCTTCAGCAGGTTTTGAAATAGAAGCCCTTCCTTGGCTAGCAAGGAATTGTCAGAAGTTATCCCAAAGGAAAAAGCAGCAAGGTAGGGCTCTGTGCCAAAGGAGTAAGGCCTGCAGAAATCCTTGCACAGGGCCAGGTTACAGGTACATGATTTTTATGGTTTGCATTGTATGTATGGAAGTTCTGTTTCTGTTAGATATGAAAGACCATTCATTTCAGCATTACTCATAATACAAAAGCAGTTGGGTCAAACAAAAGGCCCACCAGAAGGGAGACAGATTCACTAACTGACCGTGTATACGTTTCGGAGGAGGATGGAAATGAGGGAGAGGGAAGAGGCGATATAGAGCCAGAGATGAGGAGCTCTGTGGTTGAGATTGAACCATGAGGTCGTGGTGTGACTGAGGGTAGCACTGCCAGTGGGCACCTGGCAAACAGAGGAGGTGACTTCAGTAGGACCACGGTGGCAGAAAAAAAAAATACCCCCGAAGGCATATGGGGGGAGAGTGGAGGTGATGGCTGTGGTAGGTGCTGAGTAGCAGGAAGCACTAAGTGAGGGTGACAACATGAGATGCAATGGTGGAAATGAAAGGATAAAGGGCTCCTGCTTTCCCTGGCCCAGCCCTTCTTTGTTGCCTTTTACTTGCAGAGCAGGTGAGTAGACAAGGACCGGTGGGATGCAGTCTGGGATTTTCCCATAGCCTACTGTGGATGCACCTGTTGAAATGTGAAAAATGGAAAAGGAAGGAAAGAGAAGAGGTGAGAGGAAGGAAATCACTTCCTCTGGCTATTCGCTGACTTATTGAGGTTAAACTTTGAATTGACCAAAGGGAGTCACATGCGAGCATTGTATGTTTGAGCTGATGTGTGGCCAAGATGCATCATAGAGACTCAGAGGATCTGTAGATTTCCAAATGGCAGGGGTGAGGCATAGAAGGAGACAAAGACATGTGTACCAGTCACCCAATGTTTTAGCGTTCATGAAAGTTCTTCAGTTTCTCATTCATTCATTTGTTTGGTGATTATAACACAGATACTGCCTTTGTGCCAGGAACTGTGTTGGGTTTAGGGAGTGAAGCAGAACTAATCCTTGATCTTGATAACAACAAGCAATAAACAAGTGTGCCAAGAGGGAAATCTGTGTTTCGAATATATGGATGCTGTGGAGTAGAGGACAGTAAGGCGTTGGAGTAGGAAGCACACACTGTGATGGAGAGCTCAGCCTAGGTCTCTTGGCCAGGGACCGAAGGGATGCTTAAGCTGAAGCTTAGTGAGTGAAAAGCAACCTGGAGCAGAAAACAACACTGGGTTTTAGGGAGGAATTTCTAAGGCAATAGCCAACATTTTCCATTTTCTGTCACCTTTTCCTGTGTGTGTTAATTTGTGACCTTCTCAAGTATTTCCTGTCATTTTTACCCTATATTAGAGTCCCACGTGGCAATATATTGCCATTCTGGATGTTGACTACAAATTGGATGAGATTAGGCTGAAGAAATGTGGCAGCTGGGAGGAGTAGCAGGAACGTGGTTAGGAGAATTAAAAGTCTGTTAGTGCTGTGCAAGCCTGTAGCAGTCAAGTGTGAATCTTAATATCTGCATGTCCATCAGCATTCTGATGATGGCCAGTGACAACCAGTACCATGTGACTGAGAATTTTCCATAAGGCCATCTACACCAGCGAGATGGAGTCTCCAGGGACCGTCCACTTCCTTGGCTCTGAGAGAAAAAGTTAGAACAGCTTCTGATAGCTTCTCGAGAATGCTGTTCACCTCTAACCTTTCTTTAGGGATTGCTGGTTTGCTTATAGATTTATTTTGCTTATTTGAAAGGCAGAGTTATGGAGAGAGACAGAGAGGTAGAGAGATTTTCTATCCATTGGTTCACTCTCCAAATGGTCACCACAGCTGGAACTGGACCCACCCGAAGCCAGGAGCCTGGTGCTTCTTATAGGTCTGTCATTTGGGTGGCAGGGACCCAAGCACTTGAACCATCCTCTGCTGCTTTCCCAGGCATAGTAGCAGGGAGCTGGATGGGAAGTGGAGCAACTGGAACTCAAGTCAGCACCCATGTGGTATGTCAGCACCACAGGTCATGGTTTTACTTGCTATGCTACAGAACCAGCCTATTGAGGGAGGGATGGTTTTAAAAATTTTGTTTTCTTGAAGTTTGAGATTTACTGAGCAGTCGCAGAGAACAAAGAACTCCCATCTACAGCCTACATCAAGTTTTTGCTGTTAGCCTGAAGCATAGGCTGAAGGAACTGGCACTGGGTCATTCCTATAGGCTCAACTGGACCTTGGTGCCACCAGTCCTTTCATGGATGTTCTCTTTCTGTACCAGGATCCTAGCCAAGGAGCCATGTTACATTCATTGCTGTGCTTGCCACAGCTGTCCTCCTCTGTCATGCCTGCTCAATCTTACCTTGATGGTCATGTCTTTGATTGGAGAAAGGGCCAAAAACCTGTGGAATGTCCCCTGATGTGAGTTCGTCTGGTGTGCTTCCCGTGGTGACATGACACCAAGGTTTTGAGTTGGATAACAAGGAGCAGCATAGGGACACCATACTCTCCTGGTTGTTTCTTTCCGGAAGAGCATCTTATCCACATGACATTAATGAGGATGACAATTTTGCTTCCTTGGAAGTTAGCAATGGTTTCCACTTTTCTGTGAAGTTTTTTGTTTTTTGTTTTTTTTTTTGTTTTAAAGGATGTTTTAAAAAAATATTCATTTATTTGAAAGTAAGAGAGAGAATCTTCCATCTGTTGGATTGCTCCCCAGATGACTACAATGGCAGGTGTTGGGCCAGGTTGAAGCCAGAAGCCAGAAGCCAGAAGCTTCTGCCAAGTCTCCCACCTGGGAGCAGAGCCCAAGGACTTGGATCATCTTTTATTGCTTTTTTTCAGGCACATTAGCCCAGAGCTGGTTGGAAAGTGGAATAGGCAGGACTTGAACTGACACCCGTATAGGATTCTGGCATCTCAGGCAGCAGTTTTTCCCAGCTATGTCACAATGCTGGCCCCTGTTGAAGGAATTTTTAGACCCACAGATTCTTGTAAAACATTCAGCCACAACTGTGAAGTGTAATTCTTGCTTAGTTATCCTTCGCACTGATTGCTGGGCCTTCCCATCTGCTCCAAGGGAAAGAAACACTCTAACTGCTCCAGGATTTTCTCTGCACCTCCATGCATATGCATGTCCCTATGCAACACACACATATAGGATGACTTCGTGTTTTAGTTTTCTGTAGAAATGGTGTGTCTTCCTGCAACTCGCTTTCCCACATAGCAGTATGCCTTGAAGATCTGTCTCAGTTGCTCTTTTTGATGACAAAGGGTCTTCCAAGAGTGCACAGGCAATGCCTTTTAGGAAAAATCTGCATAGATTTCAAATATTGGTTGCACCAAAGCAAACTTCCCTTTTATTCTGTTTCCCCTGCCCCAAACGTTTTGAAATATTTCCTTGTTCACTGAAGTCTGCATAGCAATGTCCATGGACTCTTGGGGCCATTTTCCCTGTTGCCAGAAACTGCTGACTGAATTCTCTTGGGCGTTTACTTCTTGAAAGTAGATGCACACAAGATTTGGAGTAGAACAGACACATTGAAAAGCTTTCACAGATCCTGCCAAAATGCCTTCAGTCTCCCGCCAGCCACCTACCGGAGTCCTATTGTCCACCAGCCACTTCAATCTTGAATGCATTTGGTCATTGAGGATGCTTGCAATGTTATCACAGTTTGGGTGGGACTTTTACTTACCTCTGTATACAAAGCTGTTCCTTCTCTTTTTAAAATATAACTCTAATTCCAGATGTGCTAGAGATGTGAAATTTGGGAAATAAAGAACAAATGCCAAATGATCTTACAATTGCTAACCGGGGACCATGTATAGATAGTCATAGAAGATTTTGGACAACTTTGAAAAAAAAATCAGAAAGGTGAAAATTGTGCAACTCTTGCCCTGCTCAGCAGGAAGAATGGCCTTAGAGTTGCGCCTGTAATGGAAACTTCTGAACTGCACTGTGAGATCAGGTTACTGAGCTGCAGGTCATTCCCCAGGAAATCAGCTCTCTGTTAGTATGGCTGTGCTCTGACCTCTCATGTAGCTATCACCATTGTGTTTGCCAAGATATATGGCTTCATTGCTCACTACTGTTTAACTTTATGCAGTGAATGGCAGAAGCTACTTCCTGCAGGCTGCAGAGTCACGGAGCAGTGTTAGATCTATTTCCTTGGCTTCTTATCTCTGTGGTCTGGACATTTTCAAGCATCAGTTTTATTTATTTGATAGGCAGAAAGAGAGAGTGTACTCCCATCTGTTGGTTCACCCTCTCAGGGTCCCCAGTGCAGGGTGGAGCTGGTCCAAAGCTGGGAACTAGGGACCAAAGCCAAGGTTCCCTTGTGGGTGGCAGGGACCCAACCACTTGAGTCACCACTTGCTGCCTCCCAGGAGGCACAGAAGCAGGAAGTCAGAGTTGGAAACAGTGTGAATCAGATCCAGATACTCTGATTTGGAATGTGGGCATCCTGGCTGGCAACGTAACCACTAAACCAAATGCCCAACCCACATTTACTTTAAAAAACAAACTTTTTTTTTGGAAAAAAATTCATGGAAAATATTTATCATAGACAATTCTGTAAACGACCAAAAAATTGAAAAGAAAAGCAATATCACCTATTGCTGTGCAACCCACAATAACAACAGCAATATTGTTAATACTCCATCTATATTCTCATCTTTGTTTCCTGCGAATTTAGGTGCTGGGGAATGCATGCCAGACTTAATTTTTTCTCTAATTATACCTCCCACCCTACTTCTTAATTAGATGGTATCCCAGAAAAAGAGAAAGAGAGAGAGATTTTCAATCAGTGGGGATCTCTGAATTTCAACATACATGAGAAACTTAGCCATGCTGGCAAAGATGCAGGCAGAAGCAGAAAAAGGTCAAAGGGTTCACTGACCTGGGAAGGGCAGATGTCCACCACTGCTGGCATTGACTTGGTGAATTTAGGGCAGCCCTGTGCTTACCTGCCTGTCTCGAACTCCCTTGGGGAAATTGCTCCTGAGCATTGGCTCTTTTCTATACAGTTTTCTTTGGGGAGCTGTGCTTGGTTCCTGTTCCCCAGAAGAAGCTGGGCTCCTTCCTCTTTCTTGTCCCAACCCATCTGTGTCCTTTCCTTCCATCTTGACAATCTGCCCATCAGCCAGTACTTTTGTGGTTGGCCTAGTCACTCCTTCCAATGTCCTTGATTGTAACTTGACCTTCTGTTCCTCTTTGTGCCTTTCTGGGTCATTTGAGAAGCAGCTGAGAATGTCACATCTGAGAAAGGATGTGACTTAGAGCTTTCCTTCTGGGACCACATGGGGTGATGGGAAATGCTATCTGAGAGCATTGCAGGCCAGGGAATGAAGAGTTCCATAGAACCCTCACTCAAGTTCGTTCTCACTGTCAACACCCACAACTCCCCTTGGAAGTTCATACTTCCTAAGGATTGTCAACAGTAGTAATTTTCTTCACTTTGGGGTGATAATCTTCTGTTTCTGTTTTAAGATACAAGAGAGCACCGAGTCACCTTCCAGTGTCCTTTCCAGTCCCGGGAAGTTTGCCCAGACATGCACTGATGTGCACACTGATGACCTGGGGCAACCAGGAGCTGACTTTATCCACACACATAATGGGCAGCAGTTAATGAGTCCTAACAGAACAACTTGCCCTCCCACTTGTTCTTTCTAATGTTCTTGTCAACATTTCCCTGCTCTGCTGCCCTTGGTGGAGCCTGGCCACCTATACCAGTGTCTCAGTGAATGTATTATTCAAATCCAGGCAGTCTGGGCCTTGGTCAAAACATTGAGTGCTACAGAAGGTGAGAATTTCTCCTGTTCTCGTCTCACAGTCCTGCAGGTGGGCACTCCAGAGTCTGTATGTCAACTGTGCTTTTGAGGGAGGGGAAACCCCAAGAATGGGGGTTCAGGATGGCAGCTCTGTGAGCTGGAGCTTGAGTGGCCATGTCCATGTTCAAAGCAGCAGGGTGGCAGGTGGAGGTGGGAGATGTTCTTCAGGACCATTCCTAGAGGCAGCCACATGCACCTGCACTCCTGTTCCAGTAGCCACCTGGCTGCCCTCACTGCAAGAGGAGCGGGGGAATGCCATCTCTGGGTAGCCAAGACCACCATCTCGTCCCTAGAGAAAAGGAGGAGAGCAGCTACTGGGGAACAGCCAGCAGTTTCTACCATAGGGCTTGATGGAGTTCCAAGAACCAACTCTTAGCCTACAGGTCACCCAGTTGTGGGGTTTCTGTCCACAACCAGTGCCACCTTGAAAGAGAACACCTGCTAAGGACAGATGCCCAGGGCCAGGCAGAGAGGAAGAGTAAGCAGCCTCTGCCCCAAGGGCCGGGGGCAGGGCAGACAAAACCAGAACCTTCCCTGGGACTGGGGTACATGACTGTATCATTCCAAGCATCAGGAGAGATGGCTGTGGACACAGTGCAAACCTCCATTTCCATGAGAGATCCCACAGGATGACTGGCCACTGTTTGTGCTGGGAGAGCCAGGATGTTGAGCACTTGTTGGGTGTCAGATAGAAGCTATAGACTTGTTCTGGCACTGGATTCTCACGGCATCTCATCATCATTTTCCTTTATTATGCAAAGTTACAAGTATGGAAACAGGCTTGAGTTCTTAAGAGACCAAAGCCTAGAGCCGATCAACAGACAGAGGGTCCTACTTCATGGATCTCTGTCATTGTGGAATAAGAACAGATTAGAGAGATTCAAAATTCCACACATACATGTTTCTGAAAAACACGTTATTCATCACTTTCTGTGATAGGAATCACATAAAAGATGGGGAGGGGTAGCTGCCATCAAAGAGCTGTGAATGCTTTTACAAGTTAAAAGTCTTGGTGAGTAAGAGGCAACCATTAGAGCTAGAACCATGGCATGGTAGGCTAAGCTTTTGTCTGTGGCGCTGGCATCCCATAGAGCATCAGCTTGTGTTCTAGCTGTTCCATTTATGATCTAGCTCCCTGCTTATGGCCTGGGAAAAGCAATGGAGGATTACTCAAGTTCTTGGGCCCCTGAATACACGTGGGAGATCCAGAAGAAACTCTTGGCTCCTAGCTTTGGATCCACTTAGCCCTGGCTGTTGTAGTCGCTTGTGGGGTGAACTAATGAATGTGAGAGTTCTCTCTCTCTCTTTCTGTCTAACTCTGCCTTTCAAATAAAAAGCAGTACCTAACTTATAGTATAAATCCAGATTTTCCTTTATTAATTTGAGAGGCAGAGAGCTACAGCTCATATCTGCTGATTCTGATTTACTGCCCAAATACCTACAATGGCCTTTGGGCAAGGGCAGTGCTAGAAGCCAGAATTTAATGTGAGTTTCCCATGTGAATGGTAGAAACCCAATGACTTGAGCCATTCCTAGCACCTCCCAGAATATACAGAAGCCGAGATCTGGAATTGGGAGCAGGGTCAGGGATCTAACCCAGGTACTCTGCTATGAGTTATGGACATTGCAGCCCAGTGAACATCTTAACCACTAGATCAAACACCTGCCATTGTGAGTTGGATTGGGATGATCTTCTATTTATTTGTCTACACTTGCTCTGGATCTTGAGGTTTAATTCTGGGATGACTGAGCTTTGATTTGTTAATAATACTGCAAATGCTTATGTGATTAAATTAATGCTAGTGTTCTAATAGAATGAAAACACAAAAGATGATGACCTTCCAACGGAACAAAGTGAAAATGAGCTAGTTCAAAGAAGTTTCTGCCAACGTGGTGATGATGTGCCTCTTAAGTCAAAAAAAGAGACAGGGTAAAATTAAATCATTTTATTGTGACTTGTGGAAACATATTAAAATGCTGTGGGGAGAGTTGAGTGACTGATTAATATGTAGTTTACACGAATACATTTGAAGTCAAAACGGAAGGAAGGCTGTGAAAACAGGTCAGACAACTACATTAATATTTCACCCCAACATCTTGTTTTTAACAAGAGTAATTGCTGAGAGAAATTTCTTCTTTATATTTGGAGAGTGATTATTTCCCTCCCCCCCAGTGCAGCTTTTTAAAGAGTACCACTGGCATATATGAATTTTCTGAACCCTTTGAGAGGAAAGATCTTTATTGTATTTCTCCTGCCTACCCAAAGTATGACTATGCCAAGACCTCACAACTGCTGGGTTTGGATGACGGGGCTGAGCCCAGTGGTGGGAATTCCATCCTGATGAGAGGGGCCTACTTGTCTTTTCTGTACCTGCGCCACCTGCGGATCAGGGAGCTGCAGGTGGGTGGCCCTGTGCACTGCTTTCCAGCATCTGTGATGTCTGGTTGTCAGGAAAGGGGGCTATATATTTCTGTTTTCTGTAGCTGTAACAAAGTGCCTGAGGCTGGTTAACTTGGAAGGAGGTTTATTTAGCTCACAGTCTGGGAAGTTCAAGGGCATGGAAGGGCACTGGCGTGGCTCTGCAGAGGGCCTCCAGATTAATAGCCTCACCATGTCACCAATGGTGGAAGGATGTGCAACAGGGATAGATTGCATGGCAACACAGGAAGCCAGAGATTCAGAGGTCAGATTCACTCTCTGACAACAACTCATTCTCCAAGGAACCAACCATGATCCATGAGAACCGCATTAACCCCTTCCAACGGTAGCACTTTCACCTCCACTGGGTCCCACCACATGAAGCCTCTACTGGCTCTCCAGTTACCACACTGGGGACCAAACTTCCAGGAAACAACCTAGGACAAATCAGATCCCCATAGCAGGTGCTTGCTTGCTAGTTCAGCCACAATGCCCATTTATGTGTTTGCTGTTGATTCTGAATTTCACATGAAATCACTCCTTGAGGTGTCTGTTCTTTGCTCCACAGCAGCGTTGCCCTACTGCTCCCAAGAATCTCTTCTAGTAGGATGCAGCTAGGCAAAAGACGGAGTCCTGATTCCATTCATGTTGTGTTTCAGCGCATCTGTTTAGGGGTCCTGAACTACTTCATATCCATTGAGCGAACCCTGATCATCAACACTGCAGGTCTTACTGTGGTTTCAGGGCACATGGTCCCCTCCATGGAAGATAGCTCCTTTATAAAGATATCCAATGGAGGTTTGGGCCCCTTGCATGGCCTGGAAACTCACCACTATGTCCACAGGTCATCTGCTGAGCACAAGGTGAGGTCTTCCAGTGGTTTTTCTTCTTTAAGAGCCTACCTCCTGAAGCCATTTTCTTGTTCTTCTTCTTGTTCTTCTTTTTCTTCTTGATTTTTAAATTTTGTTTTGGATGATGTTTACATAGTTGATTAGATGGAAAAGGTGGAGGGTTAAGGGAAAGTGGGTGTGACCATTGTTTCCACATTTTCTTTTTTCTTCTTTCTGTATCTGGAGGAGGAAAGGAGATAAGGGGAGAAGTCACACCCAGCCTCCCAACCGCCTCTGTACCTGGGGATGGGGAACGGTCACCCAACATCATCCTAGGGTTCCTGATATGCAGCTTACTCTGAGGGTTCTGTGTAAGTTGTTTTAATAGCTCAATGGTTCTGAAATGCTATTGATCTTGCTGATCCAAGGATGAGAAAATCATTCCAAGGCCCATTGGCTGACATAGTCCACTTTAGAGTTTTCATTCACCCAGATATTTGCTGCCAAATCTTGGTTAGGATAGTTGACCAAATTGTTCTACCCTCCTTCTCCTGATATGGTACCAGATGCCCTCTGCAGGCTCCAATGAATGGCCATATTCTCATGCATCTGGATGTGCCAGCCACTGCTCTGTCTGAACCTCTGAGGAAGCCCAGCTCTGACATATGCACTCCACAGTCAGACAACAGATCCTATGATTATCCCAATGGTTGGAGTTCTGAGTCTAGCAGTTCAGTTGGGGGGATCCCCAAAGAAACCTTGTCTGAGGTGTTCCCAGTCCTGATTCTTGTGTGTGCTTGCCAGTGCAGGTTCTGGCTCTGTCTGTCTCCTACATCAGTCTATGCACGCACACTGGTGGTTGCAGTTGCTGAGTCACAACATCTCAGCTTTCGTGTATACTAGCGGGAACTGCAGCCTAGTTGGAACAATTCCCAATAACCCCCGCTAGGCTTGCCCCCAGTCCTGGTTCCTATCCTTACCAGTATTTTCAGCAGACTGGTCCAATCTGTCCTATATCCCATTCAGCTTTCATACACATCAATGGGCATTGACGTCTAGCTCAACCCAGCCGACACCACTATCTAGCCCTACTCATGTTGGCAGGTGCCATTGCCTGTTTAGCCAAGCCCACTCCCAGTCTTGGTTCTCAGGCTCACTAGTGGGAGTTGCAGCCCATCAAAGACATGCTCACAGTTTCCCTACTGGGCCCATTCCCAGTCCTGAATCTTGCACTCTCCAGGATCTTAAAGTCTAGCTTGACAGGAATTGCCCCCACTCCAAGTACTTGCCCCTGATGCTGTATCAGAGCTCAGCCAGCTCACACTTACTCTGACTTATACATGCACCAATGGGTACAGTCAGTTAGCCCAGCCTGGCTCTCCCCTTAACCCAGTTCACATGCAGGCCAACAAGTGTTATAGCCCTACCCAGCCTGATTGGTGCCTGATCCCAATTCTCACACTAACTAGTGGGAACAGTGGGCCAGCAGGGGAGCCTCCCCTCCCATGACCCCACCCTACCAGGCTGGTGCCCCTCTCCCCTGGGATCCACATGTGCTGTTGGGTGCTACATTCCAGTCTGGCATGGTCCACCTCACCATGGCATTTGCCAGCAGGTGCTGCAGCCTGGCCTGGCCTGCCCCCTGTCCCAGCTCATGCTGGTGGGTGCTACAACCTTGCACAGCCCAGCCAACCCCCAGTTCTGACCCTAATGTGAACTGGCTGGTGTTGTGGACCAACCAGACCTGACCTGCAACCCAACCTGGTTCTCAGATCTGCCAGTGGGTGTTATGAACTGGCCCAGCCTAGCCTACCCCCAGACCTGATGCACACATATGCCAGTAGGTTCCATAAACTGGCCTTGTCTGGGTTGTTCTCAGCCTTGCTTGTAGTCAACCTGCAGGGACTGAGTCCTAAGAAAGTAGTTCTCCAAGATCCTCTATCAGGTTTTCTCTCAGTGGCAGATTTCATGCACACTGGTGGGTCTTTGGCAGTCTGACTTAGTCCACCTCCTATCCTGGCAAGAACACTACCTTTGCCCAACCAGTCCACACCCATTCTGGTTCTTGCTGTTGGGTGCTACAGCCCAGCCACACCTGGTCTATGCCCAAACATGGCTTTCACATGGTTCACCTTGGGCAGGGACATAACCCAGCCCATCCTACAGCAACCCTGGTTCTCATGAACACCAGCAGGTGCTGGAATCTAGCCCAGCCTGGCACACCCCAGACCCAGTCCATACCCATACCAGGGGACATTGTAGTCATGTCCAACCCAGATTGCAACCCTCATTCTGGCTCTTGCACACCACCTAGCCATGGCATTCCCTTAGCTCCCCATCCACGCCTGTTCCTAGACATAGATCTTGTGTATGCCAGTGATCCAGCTCGGCATAGACCATTTCCTGTTTCTGCCTTTACCATTGGATGCTGAAGCCTGATCTGTCCCAGCCTGCCTGCAGTCCCAACTCTTGCTGGCAGTTGCTGCAGCCTAATGTTGCCAAGTCTGTTCCCATTCCTGGCTCTTGCAAACCAGTAGGTGTGATAGCCTATCTTGGCATTACCTGCATGGCTCCTGAACATGCCAGTGGGCTAAGAGTGGTCCACTCCTGCCCAGTTCACCCCCTCCAGAACTGCCCCACACACTTGCACACTTGTCAGGAGCTACCTTGCCTGACCTGAATCACATGCTCACCAGAGGAAGCTATGGCCCACCAGGGGAGTTTCCCAAGCTCCCCTACCAGGCCCACTCCCAGACCCAGATCTCAGATGTGCCAGTAGGTGCACAGTCCTTACCTGGCATAGTGTGCTCCCTCTGTCCCAGCCTTTGTATGAGTTGGTGGATGTTGTGGCCCAATCCATCCATATCCTATTCTTGGGTGTGCCTGTGGGTGCTGAAGCCTGGACCGCTCTGTTCTGTTCCCATGAATTTTGGAGGGTTCCATGGTCATGCTTAGCTCAGCCTGTCACCACCCCTAGCTCTTAAGCTAACCAGCAGAAATTGCAGTTCCACAGGGGTGATCTCACATATCCCCCACAGAATCTGTCCCCAGACTTGGTTCTCTCACGTGCTGGTTAGTGTCATGTTCGCACTCTCACTGGAAGGTGCTGTGATCTAGCCTTGCCAGGCAGACCCCCAGTCCTAGCTTTAGTGTGCACCACTGAGTGGTGGTTGGCTATGGTCCACACTAACTAGCCCAGCTCAGGTATCCCATGTGGGCCGGTGCCTCAGTGTAACCTGTAAAGGTCCTTCAGCCTCTCTCCCAAAAATGGTCCAGTTTCAGCCCCTTTGCTTACCTGTGAGTGCAGTGGCCTTGATATTGGGAGTTCCTCAGAAACCATTCATTACCTGCAACATATTCTATCAGAGGTCCTCATCCCTTTCCCTGAATATCTACATTCTCTGTACCCAAGAGCACATGTGTTCTCCAGCCCAGCCTTCTGGCTCCTGGCACGTGTGCTGGCCTGGGATTGTACCCTCCACACACCCAAAATCCAGGCCCATTCAAAATTCCCCAAGTCTAGTCCACCAGCCTACCAGGCCAGCATGTTCACCTGGGGCTCTCTCTCCCCTTTCCTCAACCTTGCCTGGGACCAAACACCTTGGGAAATTCCCCAGATTCACTCACCTGCCTGCTTGGATGTGCACCCCCAGGTCCCTGCATGGCCCCACTGGCACTATCCCCTTGGCCTCCTGCAAACCTGCGCTCCTAGGCTCACATGAACTGGCTGCCCCTGGTTGGTGGTAACGGGGGAATTGCCATTTTCTTCTTAGCATGAAAATCCATTGACACAATGGAGTAATAGAATGTAGTAGTGGTGGGTTGTTCTTAGGGAAAAGGCTTTCTAAAAAGAATTATAGAGAAGGGTATAGGCATTTGGGTTAGCAGTGAATTTGCCAGTTAATCATGCCTACATTACACATAGAAGCTCCTGGATTGGACACTTTCTCCCAGTTCCTGACTCCTTCCAATAAGGACCCTGGCTGAAATAACTGAGTTCCTGACATCCACATAGGAGACTTGGGTTGAGTTCCTGGTGTGTAACTTCAGCCTTAGCCCAACCTTGGCTCTTTCAGGCATCTGGGAGGTGAACAAATGGATGAAATTCTCTCTCCCTTTGCATCTCACAGACAAGTAAATAAATATTGAACATGGTAGCAAAAGAGGAAATGACTTTTTTTAGCCATTGTCCATTTGATGGCAGAACACAGAGAGGGAGAGCCACAGTAGGCACTGAGCCATTTCAGCTGCTGGTCCGCTGATCTTGTGGTGGGTTATATGTGAATGGCAAATCCCTTTTACTGTCAGGTTGCTGGATTGTGTCCCAGAAGGCCTGAACTTGTTTTGCTTTTATAAGACTTACTTATTTTTATTGGAAAAGTAGATTTCCAGAGAGAAGGTCTTCTATCTTCCAACCTTCCTTCACAGAGTCACTCCCCAAATGGCCATAGCAGAGATGATCTGATCTGAAGGAATGAACCAGGAATTTCTTCCAAGTCTCCCAAGTGGTTGCAGGGGCCCAAAGCCTCAGGCCATCCTCACTGCTTTTCCAGGACATAAGCAGAGATCTGGATGGGAAATGAAGCATCTGGGACACAAATTGGCACCCTTACGGGACACCAGTGCCACAGGTGAAGGATTAGCCTGTTGAACAATCTTGCCAGCCCCAAAGACATAACTTTTATGAATTAGTAAAGGTAACAGTGTGTATTGTAGGAAATAGGAAAGGATGCTAGAAAATGCCGGAGCTGGCTATGGGATTCCGATGTTTGGCAAGGGATTGTCAGGGAAGGCCCTACTAAGTGGAGTCCATGCTAACAATTGAGAAAGCATGCCAGACAGCACAGAGGCACTGCAAAGGCCCTGAGGCAGGGCTACATTCTGCAATGTTGCAGAAAGGGCAAAGGGTACAGGAATATGTATTGAGCACAGAGGATGGGAGGGGGTTATGTCAGTCCTGTGGACATTGTTTCTGACCTTGGGTGAGATGGAAAGCCTGATGTGATTTAACTGACATTGTAATACTTGTGCTG